CACAGTATTTGTTACCTGCCAACTTCATGTCCACTTTGGATTTGATCATTGTGCCTTCTTTTTTAAGTCACTGATTATAATAGAACACAGAGTTGCTAGCAGACTCACTAAGGACCACTTTCCAGAGTGGGTTTGACCTGTTAACATCAATTATCTATAAACTTGTAGCTGATCTATCTATGTAGTAGCAACCGGCCTACATTCCCCACTGTGTCTGAGCATACTTTATCTCCTATTTGATTGAAGCCCATCTGTATCCTGTCAACCATGTTGATCTGATTCAGAAGTCATAGCTCTGTGACAAAAGGAAGAGGTTAGTGTGACCTGGTGTATAAGAATAAGTACCTACCAATTTATTTGTGTGTGTGTTTTTAATTAAAGTTATTGCAGAAGTGTTACCAACAATAACAAATCACGAGGTGAAAGAAAGCTCTTTTTTCTTGGAATCCAACTTTATTTCCCATTTCCTTTTACAGCGCTTGTCCGTAATAGTACATTTTGCATATCTGTAACCTTATGATAGAAATAATTTAATATTTTGCTTTTTAGGTTTATTTATTTTATAGGCATGCTTTCATTTGGCTACTTAGAATTTGTAATTTTCATTTTAACGTCTGCATGTAATCTTATCAATTGGATGTGATATAGTTTACTTAACTATCATTCTGAAATTGGAAATTTGCATTGTTTTCTGATTGTTTACTGTTAAAGAAAACATTACTGTGAACAGCTACTCCCTTTCCTAAATTCTGAAAAAAACAACATACCTTTAATTGCCAAACTTCCAGCTTTCAAGATTATACAATCTACAGGTTAATCTTAATATTGTGGAAGAAGAAAATGTATATATGAGAATCCATAAAGCCATACAAGAAGAATGTTCCCAAATGGTAAAGAGATTTTTTTGAGCTTGGGTATCACAGAAGACTTCATGGAATTAGTTATTTTTGAATGGGCCTTGAATGATGAAAAGGATTTGAATATAGCGTTGGACTAAGAGTATTGTAGGTTGAAGAAACTATGAGCTCAGAGTTGGCAAAACCTCAAATGTGTACTGTGGACGGTGAGTGATATACCTTGGCTTGGAGCACAGAGGCTTTACCCTGTGTACTCTAGAGTCTGGCAGTTAGAGAAGCTGAAGGGGTGGGTTACTGCCTTGAATACAGGCTGAGATATTTATAGTGTAGTCATTAATAGTTGAGCCCTGATCAGAACTGTTTCAATTGATTAAGCTTTTTGTTGCTGTTTTTTTCCTTGATGAATTCCTCTTCCCTGGTTCCTTTCATATAGTAGGGTACTCTGCTACCTCCCTCTTTCGCTTCCTTCCTGCCTCCATCCCTCCCTCCCACGGAGTCCTGCCTCGTCACCCAGGCTGGAGTACAGTGGCACAATCATAGCCCACTGCAGCCTCCAACTCCTGGGCTCAGATGATTCTCCTGCCTTAGTCCCATAGCTACTAAGGTACTAGCTACTTAGTGCCTTAGTACAGATGCACACCACTACACCTGGCTAATTTTTAAATTTTTTGTAGGGACAGGGTCTTGTTTTGTTACCTAGGCAGGTCTCAAACTCCTGGTCTCAATTGTACCTCCCACCTCTGCCTCCCAAAGTGCTAGTATTACAGTGATGAACTGCTGTACTCAACCAATTCTGATCTTTATTTAAGTGACTGAACTAACGAGTGATCATGATGGAACAAATATCCAATGGAAAGGGTCTGAAAGTATTTGCAGTCAAGGGCCACATGATCAGAAATTCTTATTGATATGGCTATGTTATTTTCTTAGTGATAACAGTGGCACATTTAGGGTCTTTGAATGCATCCTAAGCGTTGGACACACCTATCATGAGAGCCAAGTGTATTTGGAAGGTTTTATTATAGTATTTTCCAGTGTGCCCCAGTATCAAGATATAGTTTTCATGGAATTAAAATTGAATGGATCAAAATTACATGTTAACTACATTCAGTTTCAATTACAATTATTGATCTAAGCCTGCTGGCATGACCCATGCAGCAGCAGTCAGGCAGCTTGTCCCCACTGGTCCCTTATTCATGGTCTGTTGGCCCCACTTTTCTCTTTCTTTTTTACCCCTGTTGTTTTATCGTTGTGTATTGACTTCCGCAGACTACCTTCAAACTTTCTTTTTTTTTTTTCTTGGAGACCAAGTCTCGCTCTGTTTCCCAGGTTGGAGTGCGATGGCACGATCTCAGCTCACTGCAATCTCCACCTCCCAAGTTCTCCTCCAAGCGATTCTCCTGCCTCAGGCTCTGGAGTAGCTGGGATTACAGGCATGCACCACTGTGCTCAGTAGTTGAGAAATAGTTGGAATGGGGAGAGTGGAGTTGCCTTTTGAACTAATTTTTGTAGTTTTAGTGGCGATATGGAGACCATATTGGCCAGGCTAGTCTTGAACTCCTGACCTCAAGTGATCCTCCCGCCTCAACCTCCCAGAGTGCTGGGATTACAGGTGTGAGCCACTGCTCCTGACTGTTAAAACATTTCTTCAAATGAGATAGGGGAGTAAAGATTACTAGTTCACACATGTTAGGTGTTATGGTAAGATTTTTTTTCTATATATCTCAAATAATATATAACTAAAAGGGATCACTAATGAAAATAATAATTATTCTGCTGTTTTGGGAGCTTTTCAGACTGTACTTGAAGTATTGTTTTCATTTCCAGGTACCAAATACCAAGAGGGATGTAAATAAATCATAGTAGTTCAAGTAGTTCAAGTAGGCCACGATAAAACAGGAAATACAGGTCTAGTCACTGCAAGATTGGCCTGGAAAAGTGAAGACAAGATAGCTGTCTTTGAGTAGCTTACAGGGTAATTTGTGGGAGAGGGATTAAACTTGTCACATGTGATAAAAACTAGGACTGATGGTCAGAAACTTCAGGGGAACATATTTGGGACTCAAGAATTCTCTAGCTGTTATGGTTATCCAAAGATGGAATGGGCTGCCCTGGGAGGAAGTGAGTTTTAGAGTATACAAGGAGAGCTTAAACAGCTACTTTGGTAGAACTTCTTAACCCTCAAGTTTCCTTCTATCCCACTGTTGTGTGATTCTGTAACTATGAGGTTTCTGGTATGAATGACGGGGGAATAGTTAGAATGGGGAGAGTGGAGTTGCCTTTTGAAGTGGATAATATATTCTTAGATGTGTTAATTTTAAAAGGAAGTTGGCTCTCACAGCAGAGATGCCCTGGCATCCATTGTAAAGTGGTATTGTAGATCCAAGGAGAGGCCTGGCTTAGATAAGATGGTCTTAGGAGTCCCAGGCATAAAATTAGTTTAAACCACACAAATTATAAATTAGTTGGCTTGCTGCGTAGAGAGTTTGTTCAAAGAGTATGAAGCTTCAAAGAATATCCATAAGAAGAAGTTCAGGATACTGAAATAAAGAGAATGATGGTCAGAAGGGCAGGAGTGTAAGGAGAATAATACTAAGATTGGAGACAGTTGACAGAGGAGATACTAATCAGTGGCTTCTGATTAGTACCTCCTACAGAGAAATCACAGAGAATGAAAATTGAGAAAAAAAAGCATTTAGGTTAGGAATATGAAAATTATTGTGAAATTTCAAGGAAGCAGTTTCCTGGAGCACAGGAGAGCCTAGACGTTAAAGAAAGAGCACATAGTGAAGAAATGAGAAGCTACCTGTTTAAGAGATGTGAGGAAGCAAGGAAGGAGAAAATGTAGTAGCTAGCTGGGGAAGTAGACAAGAGGAAAGGGGGTGCCTTTCATTACGAATGGAGTGTTAAGTTGTTTGTTTTTAAGCTAAACGTAAACATGGTGAAGGCTCATCAGAGATTTTAGTTTAGTTTTTTTTTTCCTTGAGGCCTTGTGACACAATAGATTTTCTGCCATTTGTTTCCTATTACCCTTCCTAATAACCGCCACTAGGGGGAAATCTGAATCAGAGAGAAAAGTTTGGGAGTCAGACAGTTTGGCTTTGTTCCTCAGTTTCTAGTTTAAAAAATAAATAAATAAAGGTGAGTGGGTCGTGGACACTCCAGACTCATCACCTTGGCAGTTAGGAGAGTAGGGTCCAGGACTCAATGGTGGTCAAAGGATACTTTAGCTCTGCTTAACAGCAGTGTTGTAAATGTTTAAGGATAATATATGCAATAGATCACTTATGTAACTAAAATTATTTTTTAGGCAGCAGGTGAAAGAGGAGGCTTTAGTGAGAGTATCTGCTACTTACATGATTGTCTTTGATTTTCAATGTATCTCTATTCTTTGCAGGGTCTCTTCTCCTTACTAGTTGAAAGAATATATTGCATTCCCAGAGACACTCATACAGAACACCAGTCAGAGGGAAAGATGTTTCCCTCCTGAGTATGAGGCAGAATTGTGCCTAAAGACGAATTAAAAGAGTCATCCAAGAGAATTTGCTAGTGGAATTCTATCAGTTTTCAGGGGAATAAAACACTTAATACTCGTGCCACTTAAATATTACCAGTTTAAGAAAACTATGAGCAAATATTTATGTGTGTGGTTTTAATTTTTGGTATAAAAATGCCAGTTGCTTCCCTACTAAGCCCAAATAGCCTATGCCATCTTAATTATCATTGGTATATCAATAAGGTCTTATAATTATTAAAATATTTTAATATTTAATAAACTTTAACAAAGCCCAGTCACACTCATATCATTGGATTTCAGACGCAAAGATAGCTCATAGGTGAAACCACATTGAAAGGTCCTTTTACAAATCTCCCTCTTCTCATGCTGTTTTGTGGAGTTTGTCTATGAGCAGCAGTGCAGTTTGGGGTGATTTAATTTTTCTTATTTTTTGTTTCTAATTTTTCTAAAAATCTCATGCTTTTTAAATAAACACTTAAAAAGTGTTCGTTACTTTTGTAAACCAAAATTATTGAGAACGAATTTAATCATTAGTGGATTGTTACAGAGTATATGGGTAATCATGTCTTGGTGTGGCTCAAGCCATATGACTGATCCATGATTTTAAAATATTTATGGTTTTACAGGTCGAGTCTATGCTGTCTTGTCAAAGAGAGAAGGTCGAGTACTTCAAGAAGAAATGAAAGAAGGAACAGACATGTTCATCATCAAGGCTGTGCTGCCTGTTGCTGAAAGCTTTGGTTTTGCTGATGAAATCAGGAAGAGGACAAGTGGCCTGGCCAGCCCGCAACTGGTATTCAGCCATTGGGAGGTAAAAATCCAAGTTCCCATTCATTCCTTTCCTTCTCATCTATGGATCCATTCCCTACGGAAGAGGCCAAGAGTAGCAAACAACACAGATCATGCCATTTGGCGTTCCTATGGCTCAGTCAAATGGACAGGAGAAAGCAAATGCGTTTTTCATCCAGATTGAATGAGCCTGAGATCATCTGTGGTTTTTAATAAACACACACACACATATATATACACACACACTCACTCTCATTTCTTCTTTTTATTCAATATAAAATTTAAGATGCTGAAAATTTAATCCTTTTTTATCCAAATATATATTTTAGATTTTTAGAAGAAAATCACAGGCCTTTTGAATGTGAAATTTTAAGAATATTTTCTTCTAGGGAAAAAAAAAATATTTCCAGTATTTAGAGGGGAACAGTTATACTTCTTGCAAGGGGTAGCTTTAAATTATTATGTATTGTGTATTCTTCAGTCCCCATTATGGAGATTCAAGGTTTCCATGGCTTTCAGGTGTTGTGGAATGAGAATGGAATGAAATGGCTACTCAGAACCCTTCATTGTCAGTGTAGGTAAAGGTAGATGAAAAGGCAAACCTTATCTGTAATCAGAAAGGAAAACTTAACAGATCCCCATTGCTGGGGAGAAAAGGAAAGATTGTGAACACACTGTTGTAAGTTAGAGAAAAAATAATAACAAGAGGTAAAGGTAAGGTCAGACCAGCCATCCTGAACATATCCGTAAAGTAGACGTTAACTGGCTAAGAAGAAGGACATTCAATTAGAAAGTGCCGCATGAGAAAAGGCTGGTAAAAGCAAACTGCAGGGCATGTGCAAAAAACAATTTACTTTTCAAGAAAAAGCCTAAGGTCAGGAATCAAATTGTAAACTCAAGGATGTAAGTAGAAAGATTGTTTTAAGAAAGCAGTTTTTGTTGTTGTTTACAGAGAATTGAAATGACTTCACATTATTCCCTTTTACCATGGAGGCTTGTAAGGTAATGGAAGTAGCGTTGACTTTGGAGTCAGAAAGTCCTGGTTTCAAATATTCTTCTACTTATTTGGACAAATCATGGACCCTCCCTGAGTTTTCCTCAGCCCTAGGTCAAATATCTAACCTAGTGCCTGACATTGTGGCTGACCAGCCCTTGCTGATGCGAAGATTATTTCCTTGTGGATCATTCTCTGAGTCTATACCACATTCCTTTTGGCTTGCTCTCAGCAATGTGGCATTCATTGCACGGGGCTTCACACAGATAATCCGTGGTTTTTTTTCTTAAACTCTATTTCAGCAAAACTCATGATTTAGCTTCAATGCTAAGCTGTTATCTTTCTCACTTTGTTTAGCCTGATGGGTCCATTTTTCCAGAACACTTTAAGAAGAGTTTAAGTTTGGAAGAGAATGGAAAATGAGAATAATTGAGGGAGAACTTTCTTTTTAAAACGAAATTTATAATCAAGTGAATCAGTGAAGTAAAGAAGGGTGGCACTTTAGAAAAATTGCCTTTGGACAGGACAAATTTGATTTTAATTCAGCAAGTTCATATCATCTAAATTGATGCAAGTGAAGTTGCTAGTCCGGAGCACTCCATTGTGTCTGCTTTTCCTCTTAAAAAAAAAAAAAAAAGTCACATTCTTAATGTTTGGCAGAACCAAGGTTAATACTGTGATTTAGGTTACATTTTTTTGGTCAGTACAAACTCTAGGTTTTAACAGTAATTTACTATGAATCTTTTCTTGACTTTTGCATGTTTGTCTGAAAACTTAATGGTGTTTTGATGGCATTGCTGGCTTATCATATCTGATGAGATATTGCTGAATTTCATTATGTAGAAAACAGTACCCACCAAACATTTGTGTGGTTTTTTTTTTTTTTTTTTTGAGGCGGAGTCTCGCTCTGTCGCCCAGGCTGGAGTGCAGTGGCCAGATCTCAGCTCACTGCAAGCTCCGCCTCCCGGGTTTACGCCATTCTCCTGCCTCAGCCTCCCGAGTAGCTGGGACTACAGGCACCTGCCACCATGCCCAGCTAATTTTTTTGTATTGTTTAGTAGAGATGAGGTTTCACCGTGTTAGCCAGGATGGTCTCGATCTCCTGACCTCGTGATCCACCCACCTCGGCCTCCCAAAGTGCTGGGATAAACATTTGTTCATTAATTCGTGTGCTTGTGGGTAGTAATTTCTCATTTATCAAAAATTCTAACTTTTTAGTTTTGGTTTTGGTTTTGGTTTTTGGCATTCAGCTTTTATATAAGAACACAAACCAAGTGAGAAATATAAGGGATGGGTTTTAAAAGGCAGTGCCTGAAAAATAGGAACTATGTCTGTAGTGTAAATATATTACTGATGGCTCTAATGAAAACATCATTACAACATCCTCTACCACAGGTTTTAGTGACCAGATGTGTGATTGCAGAGCAATACAGCTAAATGATATTTAGAATCAGAGAGATTCAGTCCACTTCAACCTAATGACCTTGAGAGGAAGAATGCTTTCTTCACTGGCATTACCATTGCTGCAAACTGCCCTCAGAATTCACAAGTCGTGCTTCTGAATATCTCAGAGATGAGAAGTCCATCTCATGAAGATGGCCTTGATTAACACTTGTGCATAAAACTGGGTTATAGTATGTTTGATCAGAACAAAGAGGATATAGGTTAAGTAATCACTGGGATTGTCTGTAAATGCAGATCCCGAATAGGCATTCAAAGCTGTTGTAACGGCATCATTATTGGAAGAATGATCCATTTGAATTTGTAGATTCTTTTTTGTTTTAAAATCTCATCATTTTATAGTCAGTCTTATCCTCAAAAGTAATTTTTATAAAGCATATTTTTTTAGAAAAATGTATGAAATTCCCTTCATTTCTTAGTTGTCCGATATATTAGGAAGCAGGTAAGACTGCTCTAATAAAGGGATCCCAAAATATAGTGGCTCACTCAAATAAGGCAGAGATTATTTCTCTTTTGAATCTAGGGAGGCAGCTAGGGCTGACATGTGCCTCACTGTGGTAGGAGCCCAGGCCCATTCTGGCTTGCTGCCTTTCTCAACACTTGGCCCCCATTGATTGTCCACAGTGGCTGTTCTACCTCCCCCGTCACATCTGCATTCCAGCCAATAAGAATAGGGATGAGGAAGAGTAAGATATACTCCTTCCCTTTAAGGACACAAACTGAATCTTGCACACATTACTTCACCCTCATCCCAATGCCCAAAACCAGTCATCTGACCACATCTAACAAGGCCCCACACAAGAAGGAGGCTGGGAAATGTAGTCTTTAGGTCTATGGCCTGTTGTCTGTTTTGATAAATAAAATTTGTTAGAATACAGCTGTACCCAATCATGTATGTATTTTCTATGGCTGCTTTTAAGCAGAGTAAAGTAGCTGTGATAGAAATAATATATGGCCTGCAAAGTCTAAGATATTTACTGTCTAGCTCCTTATAGGAAAAGTATGCCTCCACCTTCTGAATCTAGGTGGCTATAAGCCTACCTGAAGTATCTATTACCAAAGAAAGGTAGAGAATGGATATTTAGGAAAAACTAGTATAAAAACAGCAAGATTTTACCAAATAGGCAGTTTTTGTTACCTGAAAGCCTTGATGGTTGTCCGTCTCCTTTATCCTTCAGAAATTTAAAAAAAAAAAAAAATCTTAAAATTGATCTTACACATTTAATACTTTTAAAAAATATTACTTTCTGGCTTAGCTACATCTTGTTATTAAAAATAAGTCTTTTAATAACTTGAGAGAAAAATACTCTCAAGAAAAGTTTTGCCCCAGTTTTGTACCATCCTTCTGCCACGTCCTTGCCACCTGTCATGGTCCTGTTCCCAAAAGCTTCAAATTTTTGAAATCTTAAAAACTACATTATAATTAAATGTCATTGATCTGATATTTTTTGGCTGTCTTGGTTTTTCCCCCATAGTTAGGTTTAGAAATAACACAGTTGTTGAGATATGGCTTCTCACTCCAAGGCACTTCTTTTCATTTGTATTCTACCACACCATATAATTTACAATCAAGAGCTTTTGAGAGAAAGTGCTTCAAAAAATAGAGAAAATAAAATTACAGGCATTTTTCCATGAGGAAACCTTTGAAGTCAGCAATCTCATAATTTCTCTTTCTATGTTTTACCCTTCTATGAAAAAGGAAGAAAAGGAGCTAATAACAGACACAGAAAGAAAAAATATTACCAACCAGTGCTGTTGTACATATATGTCAGCATAACCTCAAGATTTGCCACTTATTACTGAGATTACCCTGAGGGGTGGGCTAAAGTTCATACCGGGTGAAGTGATTACAATACCACCAAACAAATTTATTTTGGACATGGTATTTTCCACCTGCCAGCAGTAATCATAGTGAAAACTGGGCAAAAAATTGAAATGGAGCACCCAGAGCTTTTTCCTTCTAGGCTTTCTTTTTCCTTAATGCCTAGGGCAACAGTTTGCACTTGGGTGCCTTTTTATGATTCGAAAATGGCATCCCCTTAAGACTGTTGAGTTGCAAAAATACATTCTCACTCTAGGCCGCTGAATTCTGAGTGAGGAAGTGAGGGAAAAAAAAGAAGAAAAAAAAGCACCTTTTTCTTCATTTTGATATCAAGCCCCTCTCTGTGGCCTGGAGGGGCCTTTCTGTAGAGCACAAGCTGGACAACCATAAAAGGGTAGCTTTGTCTTTGCTCCACTAAGGAAATTCAAAACCAGCCTCAAGCTCTCGAGTGTTACTCCATCTCCCCTGTCCTCAGAGTTTGCTGGGCATGTTGAGGCAGGTGCTTCAGGCTCTCCACACAGATGCAAGAGTAGTGAAGATGTCTTCATATAGTCATATGTTATTGGGACTTTTAACATTCCATCCTTACAAATAGCAGAACTCAGGTATAAATGATTGGAAATAAGTTGCCCAAGATCGCACAGCTAAGCGAGTAGAGAACTGGCGTTGAAGGGAAACTGCCTGGCTCCAGAGCCAGTGCAGTTAACCCTCACACCACGTTCACTCTGGCCTCAGTGCCTGCTCCTGGATTCAGTGAAGTGCCAGCCCCCTACTCCTCACTCTCTGGGTTTGATTCCACACAGACTCACTTGGTTCTTCTCACTCATTGCATTCTCTCTGCCTGTTTCCTCACATATGAGGAACAGACCCCACCCCTCTCACCCTGTCCTCCCACCAGCAAAGCAGAATAACCAATTCTGAAAATAGTTTGTGTTTCTTACAAATGTTGAGAATTTTACCTTCAGACAAAAGAGAATTATAACTTGTGGCCAGGTGTCTTAAAAAAAAAATGTGTTAAAAAAATTACAATAGTTTTTTTTCATAGGAAAAAATTACCAAAAAATATATTACCAAACATATGTTTTTACCAAAAAATATGTTCAGGGAGATCCTATGCGCCATTCACCCCTCCTTCCCCAATGTTAACATCTCTTATAGTACATTGACATTGATACACCCATAGCGCTTGTTCAGGTTTCACCAGTTATAATATATGCACTTGACTTAGCTAGTACCATTGTGCAATTTATGTTTGGATAAACTCAGTCTTCATGGCAGTCTGCAAACATGGCAAAGGGGAGGCTTTGGAGCCAGACAAATCTAGGATGTGCCAGGTGCCTTACCATATGACTTTCATATATCTTCTTCAGTCTTCACAACAACCCTGTATCAGTTGATAGATTATGAGTGTTTTCAGCTGCAAGAACCATAATGCCAGAATAGTAATTGTTTAAGCAACTAGGGCTGGTACCATGGCTCAGGGACACCATCAAAGATGCAGGCTCCCTTTCTTCTGCTCTGTATCTTCATGGGAGTTTGTGCATCTGTAGTGCTATAAAAATGTATCACATATGTAGTTTTATGTAATCAAGATACAGAATTGTTTCATCACCACAGGCTCCCTCATGCTCCCCCTACATAGCTACACCTACCTTCACCCTGGGTGGGTGGCTTTTGACCAGTCAGGCTGTTTTGAGTAGCAACCACCTTCCCTCCCTTCCTCCTGCCCAGGCCCTGAGGCCACACTGACTCAGCCTGGCTGGTATCATGGTGACATTGTCTGCTGGTGAATGGTCTGGAATGAGCCTTGCTATCCTAGGCCCAGTGGCTAGTGAATTAGAATTGAGTCTCTGGAACTGCTGTGCCCACAAAATTATAGCACACACCCTCTGACCCAGAAGAACTCCCTCAGATGGCCAGGTCCACAGGACCGAGCTTCCTCCCCACTCCTCCTTCTTACTGCAGTTTCTCGTCTAAATTCCATCCATTCGCCCTTGTCTGCCACTCTACCTACCCACGCCCCCACCCAATTCCTGGACCTTGTCTCCTTCTCTGCCCCTTGTTGCCCAACCTCTAATGGGGTTCCCTTCAAGACACTGCTTCTGTAGACTTGTTGTCACCCACCAGAATTGTTACTCTAGTGCTGATAATGCCTCTGTGCCCCCCTGGCTGTTCTCACTTCTTACTGTCTGCCCTTTCCTTCAGGGACTCTTTTCTAAAAGATATTTCTAGTTCTTTTGTTGAGTGTCCATGAGATATGTTTTAAAGTCTGTCCAACAGAGGCTTTTTTTGGTTCACTGATAATGGTTTATTTAACTAGATAAAGACATGTAGGCTCACACTGAGGCTCCTTAGCACTCTGAAGGACTTCATTGTGTACCAGCAACTGCTGTTGCTGATGCAAAGCGTCTCGTTGGTCTGATTCATGTTCTTCTCTAGATGATCTGGCTTTTCTCTCTGATTTTCCCTGTACCTGCCTCAGCACCAGGACACAGGCAGCTGCTTTATTTCCAACCTTTGTTCAAGAGCAAGAAGCACAGTTGTGGCTCACACCTCCCATTCTATAGTGTCTAGTGGGTCAGAATCAAGCCTCAGGAGATGCAGGTGCCCACAGATTTCCAGCATTTCAACACTGTCACAAGGGGTAGATTATTTTATTATCTTGGTCCAGACTCAGTGAGGTTTTTCCATCTGAAGACTCTCATCCTGTTCTCTGTGTTTTGGTTTTAGAACTCCTGTTAGATATACCCTGTACATACTTGATGACTCTTGATTTTCCTTTCAGACTTTTTTTTTTTCTAATCTCCATCTCTCTGTACCATATTCTGTATTCAGGGAGATTTCTTTAAGTCTGTCTTTTTAAAAATAATATACTGAGGTGTGAAATTCATACAACCTAAAATTGAACTTTTTTTTTTTCTTTTGAGACGGAGTTTCACTCTTGTCGCCCAGGCAGTGCAACCTCCATCTGCTGGGTTCAAGAGATTCTCCTGCCTCAGCCTCCCAGGTAGCTGGGATTACAGGCATGCACCAAGCCTGGCTAATTTTTTGTATTTTTAGTAGAGATGGGGTTTCTCCATGTTGGTCAGGCTGGTCTCAAACTCCTGACCTCAGGTGATCTGCCTGCCTCAGCCTCCCCCAAAATTGAACATTTTAAAGTAAACATTTTGCTGCATTTTTTCCATTCACAATGTCATGCACCCACCACCTCCAGAAAAAAAATTAAAAATTCGCTGGGCATGGTGGCATGCACCTGTAATCCTAGCTGCTTGGTACACCAAGGGAGGAGGATCAGTTGAGCCCAGGAGATTGAGGCTACGGTGAGCTATGATTGCACCACTGCTCTCCAGCCTGAGCAACAGAGCAGAACTCTCTCTCTTCAGTAAAAAAATAAATGTAATAATAGTAAGAGTTTAGTTACATGTGTTGATCTTTGTTGAGGTTGAAGACAAAGGCAAAATATTGATGGCAAAGATATTAAGACTCAGATATATCCTAGCAAAAATGAAAGCTTTTTAAAATTATATTATTAAAAATTAATAGTTTTCTTCCTTAGTGTTATGAACTGGAATTATGAGCAAAGAATAATAATGTATGTTACAAGTTTTATTGACTCTACTTCCATTTGTTCACACCTCCCATGATTTTTCATGCTTTTTTTTTTTTTTTTTTAGGCTGGAGTGCAGTGGCACGATCTCAGCTCACTGCAACTTCCGCCTCCTGGGTTCAAGCGATTCTCCTGCCACAGCCTCCCAAGTAGCTGGTACTATAGGCACATGCCGCCCCACCCAGCTAATTTTTTTTTTTTTTTTTTGAGACGGAGTCTCACTCTGTGGCCCAGGCTGGAGTGCAGTGGCGAGATCTCGGCTCACTGCAAGCTCTGCCTCCCGGGTTCATGCCATTCTCCTGCCTCAGCCTCCCGAGTAGCTGGGACTACAGGCGCCCGCCACTTCGCCCGGCTAGTTTTTTGTATTTTTTAGTAGAGACGGGGTTTCACTGGGTTAGCCAGGATGGTCTTGATCTCCTGACCTCGTGATCCGCCCGTCTCAACCTCCCAAAGTGCTGGGATTACAGGCTTGAGCCACCGCGCCCGGCCTATTTTTTTTTTTTATTTTTTATTTTAGTAGAGACAGGGTTTCACCTTGTTGCCCAGGCTGGTCTCGAACTTCTGAGCTCAGGCAATCCGCCTGCCTTGGCTCCCAAAGTGCTAGGACTACAGGTGTAAGCCACCAGACCCGACCAATTCTTCATACTTACTACCATTCCTAGCAAGCTTAGTTGTTCTTTGCCTAACTTTTTTTCATTAGCTAAGACTATATGAATTGGGGAGCTCAGTGAATAAGGTTTGAAATTTAAAATGCCTAACCTTGCACATTCTGTCATCTTCTTTTACAAGATCATTCCCAGTGACCCCTTCTGGGTGCCAACTACTGAGGAGGAGTACTTGCACTTTGGGGAGAAGGCTGACTCTGAGAACCAGGCCCGGAAGTACATGAATGCGGTACGAAAGCGGAAGGGGCTCTATGTGGAAGAAAAGATTGTGGAGCATGCAGAAAAGCAGAGGACACTCAGCAAAAATAAGTAACTATCTACTGTTGGTGGATTCTTTTCCTTATAGTGAATTAAAAAGTATCATCAAGGGTTTAATATTGGGAAAATTTCTTTTTGCCACATTATCTCTGTTTATTCACTTTCAATAAAGTTGATCCATATAAATATTTTAAAGAGGATGTTAGAGAACATGTTCTCCAAGTGTGTTTTTAATTGGTTCTGGTTCAAGGCAAGAAGTTATAAATATTGCAGTGATGATTTATGACTGCCCTGTGTATAACCCCCAGCAGTAAGACGTGTGGTCAGGGCTATCCACTTGGTGGTGGGGAGGTGATGTGCAGACCCACAGTGGGCAGTCTCCTCTGCACTGAGCAGCCACTCCGGGACTCACATTGTCTCTGCCTGTCATCACAGTGTCATAATTCTGAGTACATCATCCACATAAACATCATGTGTGAATTTCAGAGTGGAAACATTTCATATTTAATCAGTGAATCACAGCATTTAACATTGTTTGGAGAGACCACATACTTGAGAGAGCAGCTGCCTTTTAGTTAAACCAAGTCACTGTTATAGCTCATCCATCTTATGGTGTTGTCTAGCAAAACAGTATCATGTTCAATAGTTAGCCTGTAAATCTTCTGCTTTTACACCCACTCATAAAGTTTATCATTCCTATTTAAATCAGTATTAATGGGAGTTATCCGTATACCTTTTTCTTTTTTTAAAAAAAAAGGTAAATTTCTATAATTTTATTTGCTATTTCCTTTTAGCCTTACTTAGCTAATGTGCATGAGGTTATGGCTTTGTTATAAATATTTTTTCTAAATTTCAGTTGCCTCCTTCAGGATGATCTTCATATAAGGAACAAATGCAGTTCAGACAAAAATAGATTTTATACTTTTTGATGTTGCATAATTTTTATAGCCACTTAAAAGAAGGATTCCTTTTCATAGCATAAAATTATCAGACCAGACTTTGTTTTTGAAATACTTTAATGAGTTTTCTTAATAAACTAGGTCATTTTTAATACTAGCTGTAGACATTTTATCTTTAAATCTTCAGAGCTGGTCAAATCTAGTTGACCTAGACTTTGGGGAAAATCTGGCTGGATAATTCACTGTCTATTTAATTTCAACAGATTATAATAGCTGAGTTAGTTTAGGAGAGTTATATCATCTATTGGTTTATTTGAAAACTTTGATAACATAGGAAAAACTAGCACTTCAATTTATAGCATTTGTAAATAACATCATTCAAACTGCCAGATGTGCTATAAAATGTATACTTAGACTTAGATCAGCAAATTTTGCATTTAATAGAGAAAAGAGGCATAACCCAGAAAAAGTTGGAGAAAACGATGCTCTTTCTGCAGTCTATTGGGCCCTGACAGATGTGCCAGTGTGGGGGAAATGACATGTCGAGTTGAGAGATTGTCTCTCTTCCTTCTCCATGTTTGAGGGAGATAATAATGAGCAGGAAAGTGGCCACAAAGAGGCAGACCAAGGGATAGAGCCAATCTACCATCTAAATAATCTACCTTATTGTGTAATTCATGATGAGACCTCAGTCATTGAAACCCCGTCCCCTTCTGTGACAGCATAGTAAGACTACGTTTTTACTGTGTCCAATGCCGTGTCCAAACCCTAGCCTCTGTTTGTTGAATTCAGTAGAAACCAACCAAAATGTTGTCAGTCCACAAGTAGAAGTGAGAGTGTTCCTGTTCTTACAGAGGAGCTGGCTTTGTATACTCATTTATAGATAGGCTTCAGAGACAGTAAGGAAGGCTAGGTTGAGGAAGCCACAAAACCAGGGCTCTCCTGGAGAATTTTTTGCCTTGAGGTCCGGAGGTAGCTATCCTTCTACTCAGGGGACAGGCATAGACAACACCAGCATAATGCCTTTTCCCAGCCATCCCTGGAGTCGGTGGGTGAGGGGAGGAGATGCTGGGAAGGGCCTGGGCTCCAGCCCCTACTGGAGGATGAGCTGCAAGCAGTCTGGAGACCATCACCATTGCCCTCTGACAGGGAGGCTGTTTCCTGTGTCAGATTTTCCATAGACTGGAAGGGAAATTCCCTTCTATTGGAACTTTAGTGAAGAATGCTTGGCACCAGAGAGGGCAATTCTCCTGCCTCAGCCTCCTGAGTAAGTGGGATTATAGGTGCGTGCCACCATGCCCAGCTAATTTTTTGTATTTTTAGTAGAGACAGGGTTTCACTATGCTGTCCAGGCTGGTCTCGAACTCCAGGTCAGGGATTTTTTAGATGTATTTGATCCTCACACTTGTTGTATGAAACAGGGGTAAGGAAATTCACTAGAGCCTGGTGAAAGTTAAGTTCACAGCCCACGCTCCCATTTTTCATTCCATCGTACCTCTTGGTAAGCCCTGCTGTAGTGCATTACACAAAGATTCCCATGATTATTGTCTGATACATGTTAGGATCAGAGAAGTCATCAGTAGATGCTGAATATTCACTATGGTAGAGGAGGACTTGGGGGCATCTTTATTTCTATTCTGTGCCTTAAACTTAGGTAAAGCTACCAATGTCCAAGGTTCAAAATCATTATCTGGACTGACTCAGTTTTATTGACCGGTAAGTTTAGAAAAATAATGGATTTCAGAAATTAGGTTAACCTTTGTACTTGGAGCTGAGAACAGGGATCTAGATGTAAAAGATCCTTTTCTCCTACCTTAGAAAAGCCAAATAAGGCTCAGAGCTATGGCGAGCTTGTCCCAGGAGTCAAAGCCCTTCAGGTGAATAGATTATCAAATCTGGGAATTAGAAGGTCTTCCGTTGTCAAGCAGTCAAACTCTTCCTTTCTTATTAAGGCAAAGAACGTTGTACACTTTCTGAGCTAGAAAAAAATTCGTTAAAATAAGACAAGAATTTATTTATTTATTGATTGAGACAAGGTCTCTCTGTGTTGCGCAGGCTTATTAAGGCAAAGAACATTATACGCTTTCTGAGCTAGAAAAAAATTCGTTAAAATAAGACAAGAATTTATTTATTTATTGATTGAGACAAGGTCTCTCTGTGTTGCGCAGGCTTATTAAGGCAAAGAACATTATACGCTTTCTGAGCTAGAAAAAAATTCATCAAAATAAAGACAAGAATTTGTTTGTTTGTTTGTTTGTTTATTGAGACAAGGTCTCACTGTCACCCAGGATAGAGGGCAGTGGTGCCATCACAGCTTTCTGCAGCCTTGACCTCCCAGGCTCAGGTGATCCTCTCATCTCAGCCTCCCTAGTAGCTGGGACTACAGGCGTACACCACCATGCCTGACTAACTTTTATATTACTTACAGAGACAGGGTCTTGCCATGTTGCCCAGACTGGTCTGAAATGCCTGAGCTCAAGTGATCCGCTTCCCAAAGTGCTGAGATTACAGGCATGACCCACCGCACCTGGGCCAAAGACAATAATTTAGATCAGGTTCTAAAAACAAGATAATGAATGCATGAAACAGACCATGGAAGCACTAAGACCTTCTTTTGATCCTGTTTTATGTATAGAGGGCCTGCAGCCCAGAGGGCATCTTCTAGTTTTAGGAATAAACAGTGGGAAGGTTTTCCACTTGGTGGCACATCTGTCTTGCAGGTCACAAGCAGAGCCATTTGCAATAGCCTTTAGGGAGCCAAGGTAGCTCCTACCAAAGAAGAGGGGCAAGAAGGAGTGAGGGGGAGGAACAGAAATAAAGGTTCCCCAGAAATGCCAGAAAGGGCCTGGCCTCCCAACTTGGACATCTCTGGGCCAGAGGTGAGGGCGCAGACTTGATCGTGAATAATGGGGATGGGATTTGTTACCAGCCGCAGGTCCTCTGGGCCTTCTGGCCTTACTGAGGAAATTCCAGAGAGCCAGGCCATTGGATTCAGCCCCACAGGTCCTCCCTTGGTCCACCTCACCCTCACCACGCTCAAGGGCTGGGATTGTTTGGCTTGGGGAATCACATTTAGCCTGTGGGTTTTACACATCTCTGCCAGGTATTTGGATCTGCCTGTGCCTAAGATTATTTTTTATGATTCAAGTTCATGGCAAAAAGGCGTAACAGCTCTAATTCTCCTGTCCCAGATTTCACTGTGATCTCATCGAAAGAATCAACCTTTAATGTGCAGTTTAAAATGCCCTTTTACCTCAGCTGCAGCTTCTGCCTTTTTGCAGAATCAATGATCTTGAATTTGTATTTATTAATTTACAAATTCCACTATTTTCAAATTGTAGAACTTTTTCCAAAGAATTACTTATGTTGTCTTTTTGAGGAAAACATTCAGTTGAGCCACAAAGCCCTGATGTTGTACTATATAGCGATGGGATCAGGTACAAGGAGACAAGAGTTGAGAAGCAAGAGAGTCTTCTAGCCAATGCGGGGCAACTCAATCTCTTTAAGCCTTACATACCTCATATTTAAGGTGGGGGATAATTCCCCATATGTTGTGGGGAGGAGTAAATGAAATAATCTGTGTTAGGACACAGTACCTGGCATATGGTGCCCAATATATTAAAAAGAATTGTTGTTGCTGTATTTATTACAATTATTAGGCAGTGCAAATGCACTGAGAAGGTATATGAATTCAGACCAATTTAAGAATCAGTTAATCTAGTGTGACAAAAATTCAAACCACATATTTACTTTATTTTTCTCTAATGATGCCTTCCTGTCCAGCTAGCCTTGAACAGACTAGGCCTGGGAAGGAGGATGGCCTACACTCTATTCCACTGCATTTCCTAGAGGTCAGATTTTACACTATAGTCAATGCCCCTGTCAGGTTAGGAGCTGTCTATCCCCAAGGCATAGCAGGTGGGACTGGCTACCTCAGGACCCCAAGGCAGTTGGCTTTTGGACAGTGGCCCTGCTACTCAAAACAAAGCAAATACACCCGCCCACCCCGTGCCAGTGTCACGTACACACAGGGCTGCCAGCTGCCCTTCGTTCATTCCTTGTGAATCCCCAACAGTCACTGGTGACAGCTGAAAGGGGAGCTCCTGGGAAGTGCTTAGCAGCACCATGTGGGCTCGACCTAGCAAGTGTTGAACAAGAAACAATTTCTTGTCTGCATGGCCCTCCCTGGCATTCCCAGTTCCTGAACCAACCCTACCCCCAACTCCGTTTCTCTCCCCTCTGCTTTGGAAGTAGCACCCATGCCTACTCTGGACCTCGCCTCAGACCTGGAAAGTTTAAAC